TCGCTCCACGCCGCGCCACGCTGCCCCCCCGGCCCCCCGCAGGTGACCGGCAGGTGGGACCCCCCTGTGCCCCGAGCGCGTGTGGAGGGCGGCCGCCCCGAGGGCGAAACAATGGACGGTGATTGTTGGGAATGGAATTGGTTGACCAGGGGGGAAAGTGACTGCTTGTTTACGTGAGAATGAAAAGTGGGATGAACCTGATACTTGAAGTTCAGGACGGTCGGTCGCCTTTTTTGTTGTTCTCTCTCCTTCTCTTCCTCCTTCCTCCTCTTCTGCTTCACTAATTAATTTTTTTATTTATTAGAATTTGCTTTACATTCATCCTTTATAAGTCGTTCTCTATAGTTTCTCCTCTTCTTCATATTTTTTTTCTGTTTCTTAAAATTTGTGCTGTTGAGCAATGAATTTCATATTTGTACAAAACATCTTTTGGTCTGCTTCCATAATAATGTATGCTAAACCTGGTAAGTCTAGGTGTATCTCCGCCTCCCCCGATCGCGAGTATTGGGTGCCTCCCTAGCAGCGAAACAATGGGCGGTGATTGTTGGCTGACCAGAGGGGGAAGTGACTGCGTGTTTACGTGAGAATGCCAAGCGGGATGAACCTGATATGCAAATTGCGATGAGTTCACCCTCATTGCTCCTACATTTTTTTTCCATTATAAAATCGTCAATTGCTGAGAGACAAACTGGATATATAAAAGTAAATGTTATTAGCATTTTCACCATAAAAATGTATGTCTAAATTATATTAAATTCTTGAATGAAACCATAGGTGCGGCTCTCCCCGAAACCGCAGTGGCCTGTGAAAAAGTGTCTGGCGGGAAGGGAAGGGAAGGGAAGGGCGAATCCTGAAATTAATGGGACGAGGTGCGGAATTTAAGTTGCAAATGGCCCCATAAATATTTTTGAAATAATAAAAAAAAAATTAAGATTGAAATAAAGAAACTTGTGTTCTAAATGAGAATCCTTCCTTGGAATGGGATGTAATCAACATGTGGCAGTTGTCTTCAGTAAGTTGAGTAATATTTTTAAAAAATCTTGAGTTTGGAGGGACATTGTTTCTTTGTTCCCTATACCCTGGATCAACCATTGCAGGAAGACATTCAAAGTAATGGACAGTGATAGTTGCAAGTAAAATGATTCAAGAGGGTTCAGAAATTACATATATTGTGTAAGGATGAGAATGATACTTTGTCTGCAGGCAACCTCAGAAGGTAACTTTTTTTCAATTTTCTAAATTTGTTTTTACAGTTTCAGTATTTGCATGAAATTATATGTTTTTGCACACATTTTCATATTTTTGGCTCTCTCAATTTTAATCTAAAATGTGTACTTTTATGAGTATTGCACACGAAATATATCGCGAAAGATGCAATTAAGATTCACGTATCTATAGTCAACATGAGAAATGCCATCTTAAAAACATGTTTCCTTGCGACGGAATGTTCGTCACTGGAATAGTTGACTACATGACACCCGGATTCTTGCCAGAATGCTTTCGCGATTCCCTCATTCTCTATTATTTCCCCCACAAGCAAACCTGAATCCGCACTGCGGAGCAACCACTAGCCCGTCCCGAGAGCCGCGAAAAAGTCCCGCCGCTTTCCCAAACACTAGTCCGTTTCGCGCGCTCAACTTCGACTACTGCACCGGCGTGTCTCGGCCGCCACTCGAATTCCGCCCGAGCAGCTTTCGTGCGGCCGGGGCAGGTGATGTGCCGCAGAGGGAAACCGAGTGGTGCTCCCGTGGCCCCGGGCCCCCCTTCACTCGGCCGCGCATAATGCACGGCCCGCCCCCGGGGCCGCCAGCCGCCGACACAGTGCGCCCGAACGGCCAAAGCGCGCCACACTGACTTCGCAGTAATACAAGCAAAATGGAATGAAATCTTCAATGCAATTTTATCATCGCCTTATCAAGAAAAGGTGATATCAATATTTCTACGAAATTATATTTTTACAGATATGTGGTTGCATTTAATTATTTTAATAGTCGTTCATAAACGTGGTACTTTATGCGACGTAAAATAATAATAACAATAACAATAATAATAATAATAATAATAATGATGATGATGATGATGATAATAATAAAAACGAAAGAATGTGCTTGAAGTTCGTGGCGAAAGAAGCGTAAACACATGTCAGGTATTTTATTAACAATAATTTATACATCATCGAACGAAGAACGTATTATGGGTAATATACTCGTTTGTTTCGTATACTTTTAAATTTTAAGCAGCAGAAAAACAATTGATAGCGCATGCTCTCGGCGAGAGCATTCGCTTGACTCTACAAAAGCCTTCCTTAAATTCATGAACAAGAATTGTTGTTTATAAGAGATATAAATTATACATAAAAACGAAAAAAACATAAAATGAATGTGCTGCACTATCATCTACCTTCTCAGAAATTTCTGTTAATTTTATTTTTGAGAGCGACATCTGTGTATTATTTGCAGGAATATTTCTTTATCATACCCAAGACAAACATTTTCAACATTTTAGTGTTTCTTGGATCGTGATTACGTGAAGAAATGTAAATCTTTCAGCAATGTGTTATTGTCAGGAACGTCTTTCCGCAGTCGCACCTTGGTAGTGAGAGTGCTAGCAGTACAGAAATTATATTGGCAGCATGAACCGCAGCTTGTAACAAAAGACAGCGTAAATTGCACACTTTCCACAATCATTGCAGATGTCGGAAGATTGTTTCCTTCACTCTTTGTTGCTACTCACTTTGAAAATACATTTTTAATAAAGCGCCTAACTCCCACTAGTGTAGAGACATTTCCTGATCACACTATGCAAAATACGCCTTAGCTGATAACGTAGTTTAATACTCGCTTACTCTATAAATATCAGTTCCACGCCTTTAAAACATTAAATTCTATCATTAACCTTAATAATGCAGACGTGGTGAGATTACAATGTTTATGATATATTTTGTTATATGTATATCGGCCAGTTGCAGGGCTGCGCGATGCATTATGGCTTATCGTCGGACGCCGCAGAACGCCGATGTTCTTTTGGTTTCGCCCCGATGCCCCCGAGGGGGGGGGGCGGGCAGCGGGGGGGGGGGTGGGGGCAGTGCGGTGCAGGGCGGAGCCGCCCCGGAATGCTCAGTGCTTCCTCCGCGGGCTTTGACTCTACCACGCCGCTGCCATCAGAGTTCCCGAGCGAGCGCCCCGCCGGGGGGGGGGTCGGTCGCCCGCACACTTGACGCGCGCGGCGCTGTCCGCTGATAGGGGAGAGAGGGAGGTGCTCTCGGTTGGTGTGCGGTCGGCGCTGCGGAGGGTTGCTTGCCATGAATGCGGAATGATGTGCGATACGGGAGAGTGATTTAATTTGTCGGGAGAGGACGTTTAAAGACTTGCCTAGAATTTATAACATCTTTTGTGGAAAAATATTGAAGCGTATGTAATTTTGTTACACATTGCTGCCAATGCTGTCCAATTGAAATAATACAGAATGAGACACCTGAATTGCCGGCTGTTGGAGACGACTTTCTTCGTCATTTAGCAAGTGGTAGAGGTGACCTATATTGCATAAATAACATCAATTAACTTGCTAATTACTGAATAATCTAATTATTCTCACTCTTTCATTTTATAGAACTACACCATTCCATACCAACTATTCCATCCATTCCATACTTCCATATTCCATATTTGTGTTACGTTACGTCCTAAAAGTGCCCTGCACAATTATAAATCATGCCATCCTCACTTAAGTATGAAAATTTTATTTTTTTTAGAATTCGATGCCAAACGCTGTTATTACACAAATAGATTATGAAACCAACAATTAATCCAACATTCGGTATGACATTCTGTACAACAGAGATAAACAACCTAGCAATCATTCTACTGACGTGTGAACAGTGGCGGATCCAGGGGGAGGACATGGGGGCTATGCCCACCTCCTAAAGGCCTAGATTTTTCGTTCGTTACCTTCATTTGTAAAAATTGAATTAAATATTTATTTGTTTATGTAATTATTTAAAGCATAATGCTGTATAGTATCATATATATACTACTAAATATTTCACAGCATAATACCAAATGTGTTTATTATTTAACAAAAATCTATGATGGCCCCATCCAAAATGATTGGCTAGGTCCGGCCCTGCGTTTGATATCCAACTAACGCTCTTAAAGCTTCCAACAAACGAAGGCAGGCCTTTGTTTTAAGATCATATGAAATAAAAACTACGTCAATTTATTTTAAAATTAATTTATTTTTAAAATTAATTTTATTTTATTTCTTACAATACATTTTAGATTTGTGGCCCAGAGAGCTTAAGGGGCTGCGTACTCCGCTTTGCGAACCGCACACTAGATTACTCCACATGTCCTCGTTGCGTCCTCCCTCGAGAAAGCCCGCCCGTCCCCGGCGTGTGACAAGGCAGGCGCCGCCTCCGAACAGCGCCGCGTTCGAGGAAGCGCTGCCGTCAGGCGCTAACGCGATCTGCGACGCGACACGGCCTCCCAGATCGTGTCGCGCCTCCGGTAATGGACGCTAATGCACGCGCTGCCTCCGCCTCCACTCGCGCGATGCAGGGGGGCGTGGTCGAATCGAACGAACAGGACGTCGTAAATAATCGATTCATATTATTCTGTCGCCTATCGATTCTGTCGACTGAAGATGGAAGTGAATATTGGTTTGTATTTTGATTGTAACTCATAGTTCAACTAAAATTGAATAATAATATTAAATGAAATCTTGGAATGAGATCGAAAATCAAAACATTTGTCGTGTGGAAATAAAAATCGCAAAAATTCCTAATCCCAATAGACAATATTATCGATTATTTTAATTCGGTGGAAAGATTTGTGTCATTTTATAAGTAAATAAAAATGCTTAGAAATCTGAAGTTTAGATCCTATAGTTCTACTGAAAACAAATACCAACTGCCGAAAGAACAACTAACCAAGAATTCAGTACGTCAAACGAAGGAAATTTTTTTGCAAATTATAATGTTCCGTTCCATACGGCCTCAATGAAGTGTTGATTACCGGATTAGTTAGTGACTTAGTAAGCTTCCCTTATTAATTCTCCAAACACTGGCACAAGCACGGAATACTAAATAATCAATGCAAAAAGAGATAATTGCGGAGTTCAGAATACCAATTCGGGTCTTGACTTCAGACTTTTTTCGTTTGTGCCTACAAGGTATGTATCTTAAGAATAATAATAAACTGAACGTAATAGTTTGTCTACCCTTGTCAAAAATAATCATTTATTTATTCGTGGTGACGGCGTTGCATACATAAAAAAACTAAAAACACATGTATTAAAAATTGCTCATTAAATAAAAAATATTACAGACATTTATTAAATTAAAACAAGAAGTGAAAAGGTACATCACATGACGGTAAAGTGTCCGAATCAATTTTTATTAAAATTTTCTTTTTTACTTGTCAAGAGCGGTCTTCACGTATCATTTAGTTAAACCTGTAAAAAGTCCTTCATATCTGCACTTTAGCAGTCCATTGAAAGTTTTGTACAGAAAACCCTAAAGCCTAAAATCCTAAAGATAAATCCAGCCATTCCCTAACAAAAACTCGCCCAGTACTAAGCCGCCTGACCGACTCCTCCTTCCTGCCCAAGGAACTCTTGGTCATTGCAAGACGCGGGGCAGCATGGACACAGAGCCAGGCGGGAAAATACGCCGGGCTCTCGAACCTCGCTGGCGCCCAACACAGTATTGGCCGCAGCGACGGTGGCGGTGGCGGTGGCGCCTTGGCCGGGATCCAAACCCGGCGCTTTCACTGCCCGGCGCCCGTTCCCACCTGCTCCCACCGCCCCCGGCTGTAGGGCAGCGCCAGTTAAGTCACCGCGTCAGCGGCTCGTTTCGGCTGCCAAACAGCCGGCGATCTGCAGAGAGAACCGCCTCCAAACCGCTCAGCACAGGCTCAAGCCGTGTGCTCGACACGTTTCCAAATTCTACCGTCTGCCGGGACAAAATCTTAAGTGCTTGAAAAGGCGTTCATTCAAGGTGGTGCAAGTTTGATTATCATCCAAGTGTACCTTTTTGTTACGTACTTACAGTTTTCAATTCTTTCTAACTTTACATTCAAATCTTGTAACGTTCCTTTTTTACCTCTAATTGGGCTTTGAAGACCTGTATAACTCCAAAGATTATGTATATTATGCAGTTTTCGGACGTGTCACCCACATAATTCTTACGAAAATATTATATAAATCTGCATAATTTCCATAAAAGTACGGCACTAAGATGGATTTATGAAATTTTGTAATAGTACGTGTAATAAGTATTACAGAATAAATAGGATATGTAATTTCAATGACGCTATTCTGTAGTATTTTGAAAAAGAAGAGGGAAGTTTCCTTCGTTTATGGGAATAATATATTTATGAAAAATAAATGTGAACTGAAATAATAAATAATTGTATTAATTAAAACTATTTTGAGAAATATTTCAATGTGAAGTAAAAAACGCATAATTTTCTCATTAGAAATTGTATATTGGTACCAGAATGAAGCATTATTGGAAGTATTGATACCTGCGACTCGATATTATCATCGTATCGAAACGACACTCTGTTGCCGCTATAGAAACCAAATCGATTGCAGTATCGATTTCAGTATCGTAACATCCGTTGCTCTGGCAGTTTATATATAAGAATTGCATGCCGTGGTGAGCATGTCCTGACTTCCAGTCAGAGCTTTTTAGGGCTTCTCTTATGTAACATTGAGATTAACTATGGAAGATCTTGAGCACTTCACATTCCTTAGGTAGCGAACTCTCAGCTGTATAGATAACACAGTGTGCAAAGTTATAAGGATTCTTTGGATGTTAAAGATACACATGAAACAGCACTTTTTCAGTACGATTCATAATTTATAAAATCAATGAAATTTTCTATAGGACTAGAATCTTACTGGGTATAAGATGTCCAGTATTAAAAATACAAAGTGACTAAAAGCCGGCAGGATCTACTTCTCTTTTGCAAGAAAAACAAATTTTACAAACGACAAATGAGAAGAAAAATAACCCAACAAATAAAACTGTGAAGCACGGAAGATCAAATAATATCAAAGTAAACCAGTCAGTATTAAACCTTCATTTGAATTTTTTAAACTTCTTTAACAAAAGAATAAGAGTTTAATATTGAAAATATTTGTATCGAACCAGTGTGAAGCAAAGAAATAGTTTTGGCGCATATAAACTGATTCATGAGAAAAATTGTTTAGTAACTTTCACATTTAAAGAAAATGAATTTTCAGGAGCTACCAATCCACAATTCTTTTAGCAATGCAGCAAATTCAATTTAGTAACACTGACAAACAATCACCAAAAGAATACGAATTATTAAAGATTCCAGCAGAAATAAATGATGTTCCAGTAATCTTCTATCTCAAACTCATGTTCTCTTATTGTCCCCATAACTACCAAAAGACAACCCTGTCCGAATGGACTGTAACCACAGGGTGATCTATTAATGTGCTATGTCATTACTAATTCATCGACGTGACAATAGATTATGAGTACCAGTTAGATTAATTCGTACCAGTAGAGAGTAACGATCTGTTGAAATTTAAGCGTCAGAGCACATAGTTTACAATCGTGTTGAGAGTAGTTGTTTATGGCAAGCTTTATTGGAAAACAATAGAATCAATGTTCAGTTAATTAATCATATGCAACCACCGTTGTTATTCCTATCACGTCTGCTTTTTAAACCATGGTTTAATGAAAACGAGAAATACGTATGAAACATGTATTTTAGTGCTGTTTAATTTTACAGTTTGTTTTAGTGCCATTTAATGTTTCGTAATGTTCTGTGTGATGTCTCAATTTCTTGTGAAGTTTATTTTAATTGTAATGTAATTCTCAACATTTCAGATCAGTTTAGTTTCCTTTGGTTCTGTTCAGTTCAGTTCTCTTCTCTTTTGTTCAGTTCACTCTCCGTCCATTCAGTTCAATTCACTCTCTATCCGTTCAGTTCAATACATTCTCCTTCGGTTCAGTTCAATTCTCTCGATACGTTCAGTTCAGTCCTCCCCCGCTCTATCCTTTCAGTTCAATTCACTCTCCTTCTGTTCAGTTCAATTCACTCTCCTTCTGTTCAGTTCAATTCACTCTCCTTCTGTTCAGTTCAATTCATTCTCCTTCTGTTCAATTCAATTCACTTCAGTTCGGTTCAATTCACTTCCTTTAGTTACCTCCGATTCGATTCAATTCACATCTTTTAGGCTCCGTTACATTCAATCATTCCTCCTGTGTTCGATTCAGTTTTGACGCCTGCCAGTACAGTTCAGCACTTCAGCTGTACGGATCAGTTCCTCTCGGTCCGTGGGGCGCGCGCAGCCGCTTTGCGCGTGTGAGGAAGCGACGTCGGAACCGTGGCCCAGGCGCGCGGATGCGATGTCGCGGGCGGGGCGGCGGGCGGCGGCGGCGGCGGCGGGCGGCGGGCGGGCCGCGAAGTGGGGCGGACGGCCCAAGCGAAGAGGGCCTTCCGGCGGTGGCGGCAAAAGTGAAAGAAAGCGGATGGACGAGTGACACACAGCCACTTGCAGGTAAAGCGAAGCCCCACGAAAGCGAGGTTTCCACGCTCCGTTGCGAACTGGGCCTCCACGCCCGCCGGGGGGGGGGATGGCGAGAAGTTAAGTTCCGCTCCCGAATAGAGCCGCGTTTTGACTCTCACTTGGGATCGAGCAGTGGCGAATTCAAGTGAGGGTCCACGGCGCTCTTGAAAGTCTGAAAAAGGTTTGTAATTTTACTCCGTTTAGTCACAAAACTTACCACAGATAGATTGAATCACATTTGAAGAAATAATTCCGTTATTGATATTATTTCATTAAATACAAATTAAACATTATTATTGTTAATTATTTTATTTCAAAAATATTCGACAGAGGGAGTACTGTTAGAATAGAAACTTGCACCTTTCTGAAGTACTTTATTTAATTGGACCTTGGTTTCCAGGGATTT